GCTGTGTTTAAGACAGCAGAAAAGATGCATGGACTAGGAATTGTTCTTTCTGTGTCTTTCACTATATGGTCTGTAGTTAGCTTTTTCTTTCCAGTGGTTTACCCACCACTTTTAAAGTGAAATGTTAATTACCACTGCTGCTCAGCTAGAGTTCCCACATCTGATCAAAGGTGTTAATTTTTTTTTTTAATGAAATGTTTAATTTTATGAAAGAATAAAAAGCTACTAGAGCCATACAAGCAGGCTGAACCCTTACTAGTCATGGAAACAACAAACAGGCAAACCATTTATGCTTGCAGATCTCTCTGAAGTGATGGGTGGTAGCTAGCTAAATACCTACACTCTTTTGTTCTGACCATCTGCATCAATGCAGCTATTTATTCCTGTTTGTATCTGTGCCAGGGATATACACTGCAGTTGCATCCTGCTGCCTGATCTGCATTGCTGTATCTTTGGCAAAAATACCCAGCATATACCATGAAGGATGCAGAGAGGAATGGAACAGTTATGAACCTTGGATATCCAGCTGTACCTCTGGATGGGCATATGAAAGGATAGAAAATCTCACCCCTCCTGGTATAGAAGCAGTGATTAAGTAAAAATTGATATAGGAAAAAAAAACCTTTTGGGAGGTAGATTATTCTATACCTGAACAGAGCAATCTTTCTCATTAAAAAAATGGAGGTGAATTTGGGTTTTCCCTCAGAAACAACTGGATGTGGACATCATGGGAGATAGGACCCTGGATTGTAGGATCACTTGTGCCTGCTGCAGAGCATCGGGGGTCCCACAGGTCTGTGCCTGTACAGAAACAGAGAATCATTGCACAGCAAAACTCCAGAGGCTCAACACTCACATTGGCTGCCCAGAAAAGCATCCTGCTACATGATAATTACATTACAGTGATTTATATGCCCTGGCACCTGAAAGTTGTCAGAGCTTGGGGAAAGGACTTTTTCACTTTTCCTAATGAAAAGAGCACATTCTTCCTAATTAATAGTGAAGCCACTGCTTCTAATAAGTACTACTGTAGGCATTTCTTCTACAACTCTAGGGTGAATCTCTGTTTTTTCCAGTTATCTGCATTATGAGCAAGGGAGAGGACAGACAGACTGCAGCTACAGTTCTAAGCAGTGCTGAGCTCTTACTTCCAACATGTGCAGTGTCCCAGGTGCTCCTCTGGAAGATGCCTTCTGGCTGATAACCTGTCAGAACTGCCCAGATACCAGTGATGGAGCTGGGGAATAACAGTGAGGCCATCAGATTGCTGATGGGTTTATGCAGGGCTCTGCTATGGCAAGATACTCTATTTGTACATGCCGTCTTCCAGGGCATCTTCCTATAATTTGAATGTCACAAACACTACAAATGTAGTCATGTTTGGCAAGAAAAAATGAGGGCCTGAAGCCTCCACCATAGTACTCCAGAACTGGATGGACAAACAGGTAGGCAAGTGGAATCACAGCAGTGACTGTAGGTGAGTGGTTTCAAAAAGAACTCGTCTATTTATCATTTCTAGTGCATAAGAGCTATTACAGAGACCATTCTCTAACCTTTTTCTCTCTCTTATCACTTTAGAAGGGTGGGGGTAAATATGTGTTTTTAAAATTGCACCAAAAATGACTGGATTACATTACAGAGTGAAGTATTGTGTTCTCTGCTAGTCCTAAACTGTATAAAAGCCTCTTTAAGCTGTCAGGCTCCTGTGAAGTACAGTGACCTACAGTATGAAGGTCACTGTAAAAGAATCAGGAGTTCTTAAGAAAAGAGTTGCTGTACAAAGAATTTTTTTTCCTGAATGTTTTTGTAAGAGGGGCATCCTTGTTGATTGGAATTCCTGTGCTAAAAAAGTAATGCTCAAAATATGCCAAGAATTGTGGCAATGACAAAAGTAGTGTAAAAACACCATTAGGCATTGAAAGCCTGGAAATTCTGTTTTTGAAAGGAAGTGTGGTGGAAACTGGAAAAAGTTTTACAGGAAAATGTGGTTGCTATGCTGGTATGCTGTCCTGCCTGGAAGAAGAAATTATCTCAAAGCAAACACCCAGAGACCATTACAGAAAGGAAGAAACAAATGAAAAAACATCTAAACTACTTTTCATAGAAGCACTGAATTGAAGCAGAGAAAGCTTCATTTCCATAGGCAGAGCAAGGCTGCAGAGAGCGGTGTTACACTTCTTTGCTTCCATATTAGTTCATTAGACAGGTCTGTGACATCTGGCCTGTGTGCCCTGACCCTACTGGTGATAAATGAGTTTAATCTCTGGCATGTGACACCAGTGTTTGTGATTCCTGCAGGTTAATTGATTTCTTTTGGCAAAGCACATTTCCAAGTCCTGTCGCCTGAGCAGCATGACTGACTGCAGAGAGAAAATAAGGCATCTTGAAGAAGAAATTCCCCCATACCAATGAGTAATAGGTAGGATATGAGAGAGGATTGGCCAGGCAGAGAGCTATCCTTGCCAAAGGTGTGCAGCGCCAAGTACAGATGGCCTGTCAGATAGGTGGGAGCTGGACGTTGGGTTTAAATCCAGCATGGAGCTGTAAGCTGCTAATAGCAAAGCACCCAGTTGTCTTTTCTCTCCCAGGAAAGCATGCAGCTAATAACAAATCCTCCCCCATAAATTCTTCCAAGGAGACCACTGAACCTGTCAGCACTGGCAGACAGGACCCAGTTGACAGCACAGATCCCACTGCACATGGCATGGGCAGAAGCCTTACTCAGCAGTTGCCAACCTTTATAAAGATACTGCCTCACTGTTCAGCAATGTGTCAAACTTGAGTTAAGCTGCACCCTCCAGGAATCTGAGGGTAAGATGACAGAATATTTTTAACATGGGAGTGGGCATATCTAGAAAGAGTGCAGCAGAGAGACATCATTTTGTTAGCTATTATTTATGACAACTGTTCTCCCTCTGTATCTGAGACAGTTTGCTATAGCACATGTAGGATCAGTAAATGAGTAATACAAGTTCATAAATGAGCGTAAATCAGATTAGGCAACTGAAAGATGCAGAGAGTGGAGCAAAAACAAGTCTGAAGCCTAAATAGGTAAGTTTCTTCACTCAGTGGACCAGTGTCTGGTGGGAAAGCTGGTATGATTTTGACATAACCAAATCTGCTCAGGCTGTCTACAGCAATAGACAAAAGTGAACACATCTGTGTAGGAAAAAAAGGAGAACAGTGAGACATGATCTCTCTGCTATTTATTACTCTAACAACAAATTGAACTTCTGGCTCCCTGCTGTTGCAAAAAAAGTCACCTTGAGCACCTAGAAACTTCTGTTCATCTTGCCATGTCCCCAAGGAATCATTACATAAACTTGCATATACAGCTCATTTGTGCCACTACAAGAGCAGAGTTGGAAGGCGGCCAGAGAGCTGCCACCCTCCTGGCTCTGCAGGCATGGGAGGCCTTCAGGAACTCAAACAGGTTTCATGTTTTCTCCAGACAATCTGCTGTACCATCTACCTCTTCTTTCTCATAAGTAGATCTTCCTAACCTCTAACATCTAGCTTCAATTACTGCAGCTTAAAGCCTTTATATGCAGATGATAGCAAACCAGTCATCCACAAAGTCTCACTGAAGTTCAACTGAGCAAGACTTAACCTCCTTACCGGATACACAGGTGATGTTTTGTTCTCTGCAGCACGTTTTAACACTTCACTAGAGGTGAAATAGATACTTATGGTCACCAGGAAGTGGAAAACTTTCCTTTCTCTGGTATTTGTATGTGTTAGTAAGAGGAAGCTGGACTGCTTTTAGAGGGACACAAACATCATCTGTGACACTGCTTCCAAATCTCCTGATCTCCTGCATTCAATCAATATGACAGTGCGAGCCAGAAAATAACACCCAAACTGTTTATACACTTATGTCAACTCCAAATACCTTATTTTCCTTGTAGCTGTATCATACCTAGTGACAGTGACATGCCAGAACCACTTTGTTCAACACAGAGCAAAGCATATCCTGCTCTCTTTGTCTGCAGAACTGCCATGGGCTGCTAACATATCCACATTATGATCTCCTGCCCCACATATCTGCATCTGTGTCATCAGTCCAATATAACACCTGTAGTAAGATTTACACAGGCAAACTCAGTCACACAAAGTTCACACTGATGTGGATGCAGCACCGACTTTGCAAGAACATATCTATGCTGTTGTTCTTGAATCAATGCAAATGCCTCTCAGCCATGTCACAAGAACGACACCTCCTCTTTCTCCCACTGGGAGCAAGGCAAAGGCAACTTCCAGTCAACACCAAACTAGTCGCCTGCCCGCGAATTCAGCATGATGATATACATAGATACTCTACTGTTCAACAATTATGAGAAAGAGACTAACCCCAGCAGTGTGTATGTCATGTGGAAGCGTCTTCTGAATTACTGTAGTTGCCAACCGTGAGGTGGTCCGAATCGGTTTCATTACTGAAAAACAGTAGCTTTTTTTAAAAAGCTGCAACAAGGGACTGGGAAAAACTATCAGCACAGCGAGCCTTGAGCACTTATGTCCCCACATACACAGCTTTCTTCCTTCTCTTCTTGTCTGGTATATTGGAGGTAGTGAGCAGGGTACAAGGGTCTGAGATGGGACTGTGTGTTCAAAATTGACCACCAAGCTCTGTGAGGTATCTCTTGCTCTTCACCTAGCAGTCTACAGGTGCCAGCACACAGCAACCCCTCACCACAGATGGCCTGGTCTGTGCATGCTCACGCAAGGGTAAAAGGGATCAGTGATCTCAAGTACTGTGCTCCCCTCCAGGCCATAAGGACAGTAACTGAGATCCACCAGAGCAGAAGCATGTAAAGGATGCCCAGCCAGCATGACACAAGCCCCTGTGCTTCGTGCAGCCTCATGCACTTTGCTGAGCTGAGGTTCTTTGCATACAACCCAACATCCTTTACCTGGAAGGACCAAGGCCCAAGGAAAGAATACAAGCATAATGTTCAAGAAAGAATACAGGCTTTGGTACCTCCCCATTTACAATTACTCACTGTTGTTCAGCTTTGGCTCGGTCACTGAGGAAGAATAGGGCTGTGGCCAGGAAAAACATCCCTCCTAGGACAACGACAAATGGGCAGAGCATGAGTGCATACCCCAAGCTGAGGAACGCCCAGAGTGGGGACTCCTTTGTGCTTTGTCGTATCAGATCTGAGATCTACAAGAGAAGGGCAAAAAAAAATTAGTCACTTAGATGAAAATAGACATGATAATGTTGAGGGAACACAGCTCCAACAACAACCACCTACTAAACATATGCACACAGTTTAAAATGGAAGACTTTGTTCAGAAGAGGCTGAATGTCCTCTATTCCTTAGCCTTCCACACGCCATTACTCTGCACTCTGGAGCCTGGGCAACTCACACTGGGAGCAGCACAGCAGGGGTTCTCCTCACCCTGTCACTCTCTGCCTGAGCTGTTAGTCTTCCCACACCCCTCTCCATCTTCTCCCTGCCTACCTCAGTGACTGAACCAGTGGGTGTCCAACCTTGCTGTACTGAGCAGGCCTCCTGGTGTGCTGATGCTGCCTCACTGGCATTGCTTGCTCAGTGAAGTAGTGATCAATCTTCTGCAATTTCTTTGAAGTCTTGCTTACTCCTACATCTTTACCTACCTTTCAGCAAAAGGAGGTATTCAGCTCCTTTCCTTTGTGTTGAGTGGGATGGTGGAAATGTCTTTCATAGAACAAGACCCCCAGGTCCCATTTGATTTTCAAAGGCAGATCATGTATATAGTTTTATCTGAGGCACAGGCCTCATTCCCTCATCCAATCTCCCAAACTTTTTTGTTCTATGCCCCCCAAACTTAGACCAGGTCTGGTGCATGAGGGCCAAACAACCACACAGCACTGATAAGGCAACCCGTATCTTCTGACAGTAAAAAAGCATAATTATCCAAAAGTGAACACAAGTGTGCACTGACACAAAGGAGAAGTGACATGCAGTGGCAGTGTTTAATTCATTATGAAAAGCTTTTGCTACAACTCAGTATTATTTAATGAGTGTCTGTAGCTAAGACAATCACATTTTAATATTTCCTGTCCAGCAAAAAACTTGACACTCTATAAATCAGCAGCAGTAGCAGCTCTCAAGGCATTATGTATTTAAATGTCCAGTTCTGCTCCTTTCGTTGAGACAGAAATACTACTTCATACCAAAAGACTGCAGGGAAGTTGCACCATAAAATCCTACTGCTGTGTACACACACAAATCAGTTCCAGAAATAGTCCAGGTTTGACCAGCTAGCATCTCTAAACAGCCACACTATTGCTAGTGAAAAGGGTGGTGTCAGACACATGCTACAAGCAAAATCCAACATTGAGAGCTTAAATCTAAAGAAACAACTAAATGAAGTGAGAAAATGTCACACCCAGGAGAAATCACTCGTTCACAGCCTTGCACTGCAGCCAATTGTATTGACCTGGCAGGTAAATGTGTTCAGAGATGCCTTACAGATGCCAAGATCAACAGAAGGTCACAGAAGGATGGAGGCACTTTGGAGCACTGATGGCCTCAGAGTTTTAATAACCTTCTCACTGCTAAACCTAGCTCCTGATAAGAGCCAGGGAAAGGAGAAACAGCCAGCCTGATGCAGGAGGTGAAGCTGCTCTGCACACAAAAGAGTAGAGGACTGTTATGATGGGGCAGTGCCAAGCAGTGATGAGTGTATAAGCACCAGAAGAGCGTTTCTAAGGAAATGATTTTTTGGCCAGACTTCATTACTTCATTCCCTGCTCTATAAAGTTGGAGGAGAAAATTTCAGTGCATGGGATATAGGCTAAGGAAGTGTTCCTGGCCTCTCAAAGAGAACTTAATTCACAGTATATAACACACAGGAGGAAAAACAAGAGTATTATCACCAAGTCTCAAGTGAGAACCAATGGATAAACAAGTCCTTAGATTGAAAAGCAAACAACAGTGGCTATAAGTCTTAGAGACTTACTAAACATAGCAGAAAGTCTTGAACGTGAAAAGAACACACCCATAGGAAATCAACAGAACATGCACTGCATTCAGAAGACAGGGACCTCAGTTGGTAATTTATTCCCTCTTGTATTCAGAGACCTTAGTTGCCAATGTTTCCCTTATACTTCATTATGAGCTAAAATTCCACACTGAACCAGCCCCTCTGTACAATAGCCAGAATTGAGGCTATTCTACAATGGAATTGTGAAATTTCATTATTGGAAATGGATACAATTATCCTCCAAAAGGACCAGACAATAAATCACTCAACAAATTGACATGATAAATCACCAACGGATGATGAAAAGCTAGGCAAGGATGATGTGACATTCTGGGCTAAAAAGCAGCTTTGAAAATGTAAAAACTCCAATAAAAAAAGCTCCCAACACACCTTGCTCTGCTCTGCTCTTCCTAAAGCACCATATTGACCTTTTATACCAACAAACCTTGTTAATACTGAATCTGCTGCCTTTGTCACTTTTAACCCCCCATACTCTGTAAGTGTGCACTGTAGGATCAGCACTGTTTCTCCCCATCTGAGGTACAATTCCACCCATCAAGCCATATGGCTTTCTCATCTAGGTTCTGTGTAACCTCCACCCATCTCTGCATCTCTTAATTCTGGAATTTTTATCAGGGCTCAGATACTGTTTTTGCTGTTAACTTACAGTCACTGTTCTATGTTGTTTTCCTCTACTCAGCTACAAGCCACCTGCTCAGACTGGAACTTTGGCATCTCTCCTCTGAAGGACACAGGACATAATTACAGACTTGTGCTCCAAGAATGACATACTGTTTGCCAAATGATCTACGCTGTCTTGCCAATTTTTGGCTTTCAGATTCCTTGAAATGATAGCACTGAGTTGGCAAGACCCAATCTCTCATCGTATTCAGTGTCTTCTCTCTATCACAAGTAACAAAAAGCGGGTGCTGCATGCATGCAAGTCAGTGCCAGTTCTTCAGCACAGAGTCATGTATGGGATTCCTTTTTTGCTTTGCCACTTGTTAACTGGCAAAAGAAAAAAAAAAAACTTAAAAAATCTTTACTCGAAACCTGGGGGTAGAAAATCAGTGAGTCCTTCTGCTGCTTTGCAAGTTTTGCAGGCATTTGATACCATCCTAAGCATGAAACTTCCCATCTAACACACTGTGTTGTTTCCCTCACTAAGACAGATCTGAGATCAAGAGGAATGACTTAGCTAAATAAACTTCAGCTGATGGCATTTGATCACCCAATACAAACGACATGTGTTCAGTGGGCGGCAGTCCCTGGCTGGAGTCCATCTAGAGGAAATGCCCACTTCCCAGAGAACAACAGTTCGGCTCCAGCAGGCTGATCCAACGCATCCTGATTGTGTCTCAGTCTGAGTGCAGAAGACAGTGAAGGAAAAGGTGAAACTTCGTTGCGTTTCTCTGAAACCTGTAGAAATACAGCTTGCTCCTATGATACTCTACCACCCAAACAGCATGAGCAGCTCAATTACAGATGCCCTTACTATACAACGTGACGGTAGCATCTTTGAAATCGTTTCAGCTGCCTTGTCTTATTTGCTGAAAGGTACATCTCAATTTCTCTGCAATTGCTTGATTTTTCTAAATTTCTGATTTCACTCCTTGGGCACCAATCTTGCTACAAGAAAGGATATTTCCAGTGCAGTATCTGATTTTTATTATTACCGGTTTGATACAGGCCAGGTTCTCTCTGGTTCACCTCTTCGGCACATTTTCTTACCAAAGCATTCCTGGTAACCTCACAAATGTTTGGGGCTCACCCTCTTGAATTCAAGATGCATGTGAAAGGTTTCTCTGATCACTTTTTAAAATCAAAATATAACAGGAAAATGAAGACCAGAAACAAAAAATAAGGGATTTTATAAAGAAAAAGTAAGTAATTCTCTGGGCCTGTGGGGGAGAAAAAGCAGCATTCATGTACTGTGCTAAATGGCATGAGAGACACGTTGTAAAAGAGGAAGTAAAGCCAACTATTTTATGATGCTAGCTCTGAAAACTGTAGAAAGATAAAAGCAATTACGTTCTAAAAGTAATTTCAATTTTAACATTGGCATGTCTGGATGATGGAGATTAAAAAAGCTGAACATCCTGTTAATCTTAATTGTATCCTTCTGGGATCACAACCAGATTTGCTGTGGGGATGGTGAGAATATCAACACCCTGCATTTGTGCATGGTACCTGGGACTGCCCCTGCATGACCCATAACAAGGATTCCTGGACTGCTCATCTGTTTATACACTTGCACCCCTCCTAAGCTTAGCAGAGTGCTTCCTTGAATGGGCCACAGAAAGTTAAAATAGTCAAAGGTTCCACTTTTAAAGCTAACAAATGGACTTGGTATGTCTGTTGGTATTAGAGCAGCACTTGCCTCCAGATTTTTGCCCTGGACGACAGGAGAGGTTCAAAAGCTTATTTTCTTCATGTCACTGACTGTCCTTTCTTTTCAGGTCTGGTCTGCCCTGGGATTTTGTCAGGGAACACTGGACTTTGTTCCCTCCCAGCAGGAGATGCCTTGTACAATGGGCAACATGGAATCAAGAAAGATGGCAAAGAACTGAAATGTGCAGGGCTGGGTGATGCCCACTTACCTATAGAAATCAGGTCTGTGGCAGAGGACAGCAGTGTGGGAGCAAAGCCTTTAGCAGCTAGGAGAGGAACAGGCCCCTTATGTGGCTGGATGTCCCAGGAGGGTAAATATGAAACAGATGAGCTTCTTCTAACTAATGGATCACAGCGTGGGGTTATGGGGCTGCTCTGTCCATGTGGGCAAGTGGGCACAGTCAGTGTGGCTGTCCAGATCTGTACATGGTGCTGCTACTGCCTCAGGAGGATGAACACTAATCCAAAAGTGTTTTATAAGCCCAGTCCCAACCGCAGTGGTACTTAGCTAGGATTGGGATGATTTACACTGCTATTGCTCATTCCTTGTGCAGATAGGGCACAAGGCACCTCTTAGTGCTTTCCTGTGAGGATCAGCTGCTCTCTGCACACTAATTTCCTTGCAGAATGGATATCCATCACCATCTTCCCTGCTGTTCATGCAACAACATAATGCTTGTGAATCAGCAGCAAGAAGCACTTGCAGAAAGCAGACATCTCCTTCTGAAACGTGCCCAGCACCATGAAACCTGTGTGCCCATGTTGGGAGTTTACAAGGTCCTTGGTAACTTGAGAAAGAAC